TTGCCTTGGGCATCACCAGCTGACACGACATGAATGCTGTTGCTTGTATCTAGGTCAGCATCGAAACCATCGGGGCGGACATCGGCGTGCTGGGATTTGACTTCGGCAGTGGCATCATCGGAGCTGCCAACGGCTGAGACGTAGACGACGAAAGCGAAGAGCAGCACCTGTATGCAATGTAAGAAAAACATTATAATTGACGGTTAAATAATTTCCATTTGAAAGGAGTGATTTTAAGCTATTGCAACCAAAGTCTTTTTAGTGCATGCACTTACGTATTTGAACATTTTTGCTATTTTTTTTTGGTTGTGATGTCTCGACTAGAACACTTGATTGTTTCTGATGCTGATTGCCAAATTTGATAGCGCTTTTATAATGGCAAATTTTCTGTGCTTCAATAGCCGCCTAATTTGCATACCACCGGGAATGAGCCTTCAAGTTCACTGGTTATGCAAGTGCATGCGTGCGTTGTGTGTGTGTGTTTGACTACAATTACTGCCCATTCCCGTTGATTTTTTATGATTTTGGCTAATTCTAATTCGTCGGCCGTTAAAATCCAGCTAAACTTGTTATAATTGTAAAAATGTCTCAGCTAAAAATTTTTTTTCTTTTATTCAAATAGGTATACACACAAGAATTTACTTTTTAGCAAATGCATTTTTAGCAATTAAGAAAAAAACAGGACCCGAATCGCGGCATTCAATATCGCACGTAACTCCAAACGAAATTTGATTTTTAAATCGTAACATTCGATAACGAGTGTGCTTCGTCCATTTAAATTGTATTGTAGAGAATACAGCTACCAACTCACCGTCATACATCTGTTTAATTCGATTCGAAACGAGAAATGTAAGTAAGGTGTGCATCTCGAAATATGCACCTGGTTTTCTAAATCAATCAAACATTTTTTATCAACTATGTTCCTAAGGATGTATGTATGTATGTACATTAGCGTGGGCTGAAAATCCGCTTTTTTAGAATTTTGATTGGTAATAGCAAAAATATGGTTCATTATGCTCTAAAAAAAATTTGTGTGAAAAATTTAAATTTTCGGCCAATATTTTAGTCTCGCCCAAGTTTATCAAAGTGCAATGTGCTCAAAAAATAAAAATTAAGAAAGGCATCAATGAATACATTTTTATTGTACTAAAATTGCAAGTAACTTCGAAAGTTTTAGTCCTACATAATTTGGTATGTGGACCTTTTTCGTAGAGAATCGAAGTAAGGTAAGAAACAATTTTTTTAGCACTTGAACTTTGATGAACTTGGCGAGCTTAATTATGAACCATATTACCAATCAAAATTCTAAAAATGCAGATTTTAGGCCCACACTAATGTACATTGTACATATAAATATTTCTAATCATTCCAATTTGCAACTTATTCCTTCACATTTTCCATCACTGCCGCATTGTTGGCTAGCGATGCGCAACACGCAACACATCAATGATTTTAAACAGGTTTTCTCCTCAACATTTTTTTGTTACAGCTTAATTACGCGCAATTTTCATGTCATATCAATGAAATCAATATCAAAGACTCATATTTACACATTTGGGGTAGTTATACGCTTATTTGCTGTCACTTATTCTAACGGAGCTATAAACAAGTTTATATAATATTTTTATTTTCTTAATCTTAAGTGTCAAAGTTGCGAGGGGTCGCTTCAAATCAAAGTATTTTCAATCATTTATTGTAGCGCACGCTTAATTGCCTAGAGGTTAACTGTTATGAAATCATAAAATAAACTATAAAATGCAAAATGCACCAGTGTAGAAAGTAATGTAGGATTGATAAGCCTGTCGCAATTTGGACCCACCCAAGTTTAGCTCTCAGATAGTCCATATTGTTATCAATACTAGTCCCTCATAATTCCCCTGCCAATGGTTTCAACTGTCGTTTTTAACATTGGCGTGTCATTGGAAAAGGACCGGTCCAACAACTAACCGTAAGATGTCCTATTGTGCTTAATTGTTCTTTATCATCTGGTTTTGGATTAGTCCATTTACATTTTAGTTTTAATAAATTTTTTCGTTTGAATACGATTTCGTTGTGCACTTCACAGATGCTTTTTCGTAATAAAAGGAACGAAAAACAAAAATTTAATATTATATGTTCAACCAATGAGATTTTAACTCGGTCAGTCCTGACAGCACAACCAATAGTAGGCATCTCTGCGATATAGAATATGCTCGATAATTCCGTTTGTATGAGAGAAAATGCCCAGCACCTTCAGTATAAAAAAAAAACAAGAATATTAAAAATCAACGCGATTTTCCAGCGTTTTGAAATTTACACTTTAACCTACTAAAACTTAAAAAGCTACAAAACCGCATACTTAAAATTTGTCTAAAAATTCGAAATAAAAAGTTTAAGCTTTGTGGAAGCACATCTTAAATGTTGTTGAATTTTCCTAATTTTTATACGAACTTTGAAATGTGGATTTATGTGGCGCTGGTTAGGTAGACTTTTATAAAAAAATATAAACTTTAAAGAAACAAGAGAAATATAGCCCAAACTAGTCAAAATGTCACTTGACTTAATCAGCTGACCACAAGGGTACATACATACGTATACAGGGTGTCCTAGACCATCCGTCCACCCCCTCTAAAATGGAATGAAATGTTTTTTGTTGAAAACCGCAAAAATTTTACTGACTTAATCGGGAATGCTGTATCTTTTGGTGGTATTATCGACTGCCGTTTTCGATCGGAGGTGGGTTAAACTGAGCGGATGTCCATTTTTTCCAAATTTGGATTCTAACAATAAAAATACGTAACCTTTGTTTGAAACTTTTTTCTCAGGAGCGCCGTTTTCAATCCCTAAATGACCTTCGAGCTTCAGCTCGTCTTGGACTTTTAAAATGGACGAAAATGTTTTTTATTGGAAAACGAAAAACATGAATTACCAAGTCGAGGCCGCTCTATCTTTTGCTCATATTACCGACTTCCGGTTCCGACCGGAAAGGGGTTATACTGTTTTGGGTTTCACTAAAGCTATTTCAACATGGCCCTAAAACTTCCCGATGAATAAGACCATTGTTTCGATTTAAAGCGCATGTGTTCATATTATTCTACTACACTTCTGAGAGCAGAAGTCTACGGAGGGCTGGTATGCTTGAACTGTGGGACCCATGTCCTGTCTCGATTTTTTTTTTTACTATGAACTCATCTGCTTCCTTATTTACCGAAACGCCGTCATGACGAGATCCGGGATAAATTAACGAAGAGATTTTAGGTTTCTTTTTGTGTTAAGATAAATATGAAGATGAAGATATGGAGATAGATAAAGACTAACGGCAACGACTAACGACAAGGAAGAATGAGTGGAAGGGGCTAAGTTAAAGATCAAGATAAATATGTCAAACGAACTGGAAATGAGAAGCTTCAGTAATTACGCCCGAAAACTGTGATAAATCAATAACTACTCAAGCTAATTGACTCAAAACCGATGAATGCAATAACAACCTCGCAGAAGATTAGATTATTGTAGATTTTTGGATAACGGGCATGGCGCCGCCCACTTATGACCACAAATGTGTATCTCGGTAAACGATTTATCAATTTCGACCAAACTCGGTCCACGCAATAACCTTTTTCCAATCTTGTTTCCACGAAAAATCAGGAGCGGATAGACAAATTCTTATTAAAAGAAAAAAACTCCGATCAATAAAATAATTTAGTAAATTTTTGATAAAGGCAAGGTGCGCGTTACCACTCATTAGGACCAAGGTTCGATAGCTGGTCCGAGCAATTTATTTTATTCTAGCGCTTTTAGATTCCCCCTTTTTGTGTGTTAACACCAGGGCGCTTCCTTCTACGAAGGGAAGATCAAATAGAGAAGGCCTCGGGCACACCTGCCTTTTCGGTTGGCACAGAAGAGAATCGAATGGTGGGTGTATTTTATTCGACTCGGCCAAAATCGCTTTGACTAAGAAAAGAATGGAACGCATGGTAAGACGCTACACATGCAAAGCACCAAACAACAAGATTAAACGATACAAGCGCAAATGAATCATATCTTGGTAAGGAAAAGTAAAAGCATCCTCCGTTTTTCAGTTTTCTAGGAAACGAAGAGCAGCGGAGAAAGTGAAAACATGCATGTGACTTGTTGGAGTTTCTTGAGCCGTCCCATCACAGCATGGCTCTTTATTCTAGGTAGTAGTTTCCTAATATTCACATATCCTTCTACAACCACAAAAAATGTCATGGGCTGTCTTTCTTTGAATTCGAATTGAAAGCACGAGTTGTATAAGAGTTGTATAACAGACTCAATATATTTATGTATAGCTGTAATCCTTTCTTTAAAATGAATTAATAGTATTAAAGTGTGGATCTATATGTTCGCACGCTTATTTATCTGTACTACCTAATAGGTTAGTGGGATAATTGACAATAACTTTTTCTAATTACCTTGTTTTTCTAAAGCTACTGTAATTATCTTTACCCTATTTAACTACACATATGCAAAGTTAATAACGTGTGATTAATGAAGCTGTTGGAACGCTATAATTAAAGTAAAAACGTATGTTTACCAGTTAGCTGGATTATTTTATTTGCATTTAAAAAAACATAAAATATAAACTGAAAATCGGCAACAAGTGGAAAAGTTTCTTCGAGCCTAGCATTGTTTTTGTATAACAATAAAACTCGAGTATCACATAACATATCCATTCAATCCCATCGCCTTCCATCTTATCAGCATCATCAAGTCAAGTTCTAGTTCAATATAAATATAATCTTTCAATTATCGGCGGCATCATCCAATCATATAATTTATGATTTTGTTTGGCTTTAGTTCTTGGCGTCCTTTTGGGGGTGAGAGCTGAGCCACGCGAGCTCCTTGATGATGGCTTCTGGAGTTGGTGGTGGAGTGGGCAAGAGATCGCTCTTTGGCTGGTAACCATTCTCATCGGCAACATAGGTTAATTGGACGTTGGTGCCTTCGGGCGACACCCAACCGAATTCACCCTTAATGTTGCCTTGGGCATCACCAGCTGACACGACATGAATGCTGTTGCTTGT